GTCACACACGCGCTATTTAGGAAAACTTGGAGCTTTGAAAGCTCATTATACACACACGTATCATATTCAGTCAAAATTGTCACGCGTATCATCTCGAGGGTATAATATACAGTATGCGGTTGGCACGGTCAAGTATTTCGCGGTCACCACATAACAACAGCGAGGATAAACGACACCGAGACGCTCGTGGTTTCCTCAACCCCTTTTTTTTGCACGCAAAGACGATGACTTGGATTACGGCGTTTACCTGAGATTCGGCATATCGGGTAACGTGTGGCGCTGTGCAGCCTTGTTTTTAATATTTTATGTTTCAACTTCCTCGACTCCGTTGGGAAGACCCATTGGCGCACAAGTAATCTCTGCGGAGTGCGGTGTCAGTGATTTGCTGGCAAAATAGTCGATGGCTAATGAATTAAAAGAGACACTTGCCTGGCTTTGTTCGTAAGGATATCGTGTATATGTCAATGCTACGTATTAAAGAGGTTCCTGTTACCCACTGCTGCGAGAATTGAATTAGCGATGGTTACGGTTGGGCCTCGGAAAGGGGGTTAAAAATAGAAAAAAGACCATAGCAACGCTAGTCCCAGGGGGTGAAAACGAGCTGCAACGCGGACGAATGATACTCGTTCATATGTGTATGTGTGATATACATATATATTTTTTACTTTTATGTATACCCATAAGAATCTGAGAACACTCGTACGTATGACATACAAGCTTACGTTGGTGACAATGGCGCAATTATGCCGAGTGAATTGGCTCTACACGCTTTTTTATAGTTATATATATACGGTATAGGTGTGTCATATACGTATAGACGCTCGATCGAAACGAGTCCAAGCTAATCTAAAATTGGCCGGACGGCTGGCAAAAATTGCATACCAGTATGTTCTCGCTTACGCGTTATTTGATTCACCTTTCAGAGCCAACTGATTCTTACATGGATTCGTGTGATGGGGAAATAAAAAAAACTTTGATCCCTTAACAAGTGGGGCTCGACTATTACATCGTACGTGAGAGGATCAACTCTAGTACCTAATTTTTATCCAATTCTGCTAGAATCCGGTGGCTAACAAAACTTTGTCTTCGTGCTTGAACGTCTTGGTTTGCATTTTAAAGAGATTTCGCGGGGGGGGGGGGGAAGTTACCAGCACTTTTACCTCCAGGCTCCAAAAAAGAGAAAAAAAAACCCCTTTTCTTCTTTTTTTTGGTACAATCATTTGAATTGCAATTGTTTTCAGGGATAGAAAAAGTCGTAACTTTTTCCGCACCGCACGCTCTACTCCAAACTTCAACTAATATTCTCCGAATCGCCAAAACCATGAAAAATTAGCAATATACATATACCCATGGTGGGATTTGAGATGTCAAAAAAAGTCCACAGATTTTTTTTTTTTTTTTTTCATTGCATCATACGTTTTTGAGCCAAATTCGGTAGGATTTTCCGTGAAATCGTCCATACGTCTAATAAATAAGCGCAAAGCTAAAGTCGTCAAGGTGTTGAGACGCGCGAGTGGCAATTCCCATCGAATAAAGTACAGCCGAACAACCTCGGCCAACCTGCAATCATCAGCAGCTATACAGAGGCACTGAGCGCGCTCTCGAATGGATGTATTTTTTTTTTTTAATATAGTGCACCCTCTCAACGGAGCTTATCGAGATCCCCCGAAACGATATACCCATGAATCCAAAGTTTTCGCGAGCAAATAGACCGAAGTAAAGGCTTTCACACATATAGATACGTGTACGGAGGAGCTGTTAAAAAGATTGTTTTCCACGCTCTGGCTGGCGCCCAAACTTTCCGATCCCCGGGGCCGTTCGGACAATTAAATTAAAAGAGCAGCTAGTCGGACGGAAAAGCTCCTCCATCGACCAACTCTGACGCTACTGCCGTTCGTTCGACAAATTCACCGCGTTATTTTCTGCCCCTACCGCTCGAATATCCCGCAACTCCCCGTTTCCAAGTTTCTCATGCTCTACCGCTATATCGGGAGCGCCTATATAATCCGAGCCGGCGAAAAATAAACGGACGGCAGTGCGTTGGCCAACACCGGGAGAGGGAGAAAATTCGCGCCTAGTCCGCGAAAATAGCACAACGCCGGGATTCGAAAAGTTTCTGCTCCGAACGAGGGGCTGAACTTGCAAAGCCACGGAGACCGGGACTCTGTGATTTCTCGCACGAGTCCAATTCGAGCTTGGGAAACTTTTTTAAGCAGCTCGCGGCAGGGGAGGGGAATAAAAGGTAACCAGTCCAACAATCGAAAGATCGAGCTTTGCTTGTACTCGTACTTTTTCCGCGAATCACCTATCACTCCAATCCTCCGTCCGCGAGGAGAAAATAGCGTAGACTTGACAGCTCCACCGGGACTATGTGGGTTCAGTCTTGCTCCATCATCGAAAAATCACGATGCTGCTTCATCTGCCAACTCGGTGACAGGAGAGGCTTTTTTTTTTTTTTTCAAGATCCCACCAAAAGTCCAGCTTCTTTGAGCTCCGATACGACAATTGACTCGCGGGAGGCCCTCTCTGGCGATTCGAGTGACTCGCAAAAGACAAACAAACGGAGAAAGGGTTGGGGTGGACGAGACAGGGAAGATGATCATTAGGGGAAGGAAAAAAAAAAAAAAAAAAAAAAACTGCGTGCCGAAGGGATGAAAAGTGCGTTCCCCGAAAGCTCGGTCCCTTGAGCGCCCCGCTGCAGCTTGACGTGCACAAGTGCTCGGCGTCGGCGGTGCTATCTGGCAATGGTACTTCCTTTGTGTTTCCGAGGCCGCCCCCATTGAGCCGTGACGCTTTGATCCCTGCTTCATGCATATATCTACTCGCACCCTCGCCTTCATTGCCGTGTAGCATCTATACATCGCCGGGCAGACGAAGAAGAAAGGGACGCCGACGACGCACTGCACTTATTGTTGAAGAAATTATTCATCGAGCCGCGGCAAAGTGTATACGTGCAAGTACTTGCTGACTGTGCTTGTATAATGGACTGTTGTTTGCCGCTACTCGGGAAAAGAGGTTCCCTTTGAGTTGCCGCACACACACACACACACACACATACACACATACATACATATATATATTTTGTATCACAAGCGTCCGGCTGTCCGTACTGCATAATTGTTTATTTATCGCAATCGTTTGTCTCGACTCGATTGTTTCGATACCGCGAATGAGTCCCATTGAAAGCTCAACGTACAGAGGCTTTTTAAAGTATTCTATCATCATTTTTTTTTTTTCCTTCCTTTCTTTCTTGTCATAGGTGCGTTTGGAAAATAATAAGCTAGAGCTGGTTAAACGAGACCATTTTTGTGGGTCGTGGACTCGTAATGAGAGCTTAGGTCAAACGGAAAAAATTCATTTCTCCTTAACCGCACAAATGCATACTTGTAAGCTTGAGAACTAACACGTATGCGAGTGATGCCCGTATATCTTCAAATCAAAGGCAACGTCAAGCTAATTCGCTCTATTGGGAGACATGATGATAATATACGTACACGCATACGAGAGTATATAGCGTCTACTTGTACGAACCGGTTAGAGACGGTTAGTCAAAAATATCCGAGCTCGAGTTTAGATGGCTATTGTAGATCATCATCAGGGATAATAACAGCCGTGATGTCCGAGGTAATTTTGCAAAGAGTGAGGATGGTAATGTGTAGACACGTCCAGTGGTTTCTAAAGGTTTGTCGTGTAGCCTGTCGTCTCGTGGTGTGGAATTTTTTCGATCCAATAACTGCCAGCGTGACCTCAGCCAAATTACTCTGGATACGACCGCGTGTATGGGATGTATGGGATTGAAATAAATAAATAAATTGCTTAACGAATAAAGTACGCGCAGTTTAGCTGTACACCAGTGAACCAACATAATATATACTCCCCAAAATCACCTTCTTTTTATACCGTAATGTATATGTATTCACTTCTTCTCCTGTGGTACCTACACATTCTACCGTATAAACTCGTTACCTCTTACTCGTCCTGCACGGTTGAAACAATTCACGGACAATCGGCTACGTACGGTTACATGTGATGCGGATATTGAATTTTCATCAATACGAGCTCAAATAGATATCGAGAGTCGGTTGTACAACAGCTTGCGCGATATGATGATGGGCTATAGTTACTATGCAAGCTCGGATCAAATATCATGAGGGAGAGTGAAAAAAAAAAAAAAATCGCGCCCACACTCGATTGTTCCCCCGTGCATTACTAGAATTTATACAAGTTACAAGTGGACCCACCTAGACGGCTCGAGGAGCAAATCACTACGAGTCTAGCTACTTCTTTTATCATTAGCAGAAACGAGGAAAGTGAAAGAAGGAAAATAATACGAGAAAGAAACACGAGGGTGTATAGCAAAGGGGAACACGTGTGGTGCATAAGTTTGGCCGACATCTGCTCGCGAGAGCTTGCAGTCGGTTGGGTTTTCTTTTTGTACTTCAACTCGGAGCCGAGTGCAGTCACGCAATCGCTTTGGCTCACATCCATTATTTTCTCAAATAAAGTAATTACCAAACGACTGTATTTTTTCTTATCTTTTCTTTTCTTTTTTTTCTTTTTAATTACTTTTTGCAAAAGCCCATTTTGCTTTGTGCAAAGAAAAACGCGTCCGACTGCCAAGACATCCAATTACAAAAAGTTTATCATCTATAGACGAGGATGACTTACTGGCTCAACCGTGAATTCAACAACCGGCCAAAATAATCTCCGTACCGTGGCGCTCGTCATATGCAGGTGTATTCTCCGAGATACGTAAACTTACCACTTTACTCTTTGACCGTGTGAAATTGAAAAAACAAAATCAAAGCGGGGAAACGTGCAAAGCATCAAATTCCCCGTCAGCGAAAAAAAAAAAAAAAAAAAAAAAAGGGAACAATTAATTAGCTATCAACAAAATGCGCATTGCAAGATCGAAAGTATCGACGATTCACGATTGGCAACCCCAACATTCATTGCGATTACATATACATATAAAATAGCGATTCAAAGACTGTACTGACCTTGAAGACAAACGCCGACGAGCAGACAGCACAAGAGCAGACCCGAGCATCCCATGCTGGCGAGGCTTGGCGGCGCCTACGGAGACTCCAGCAGCGATGTCCGTGGCACCGTGACACCGCGTACACGGGAACACTCGCAAGCTCAAAGAGCGACCGGCCGCACAGGTCCACACCAAAGTTAACGCCAACGATGTACACACCACTATTGGTTAATCAAAAAGATAAGACGCGTACGACGAGTTGGTTTTATAGTTTTGTTTCACCTACGGGCGAAACGAAGCCGGTGAATTGGACGCCTGCGGTTTCAAACTCGTAACCATGAGCTTGCAAAGCTCTCGGCGCGCGCATTTGTTGGACTCGTAACGTGGAGAGAGCCGCAAACCGTCGTAGCTCCGCGCGTGCCGCGGAGCCGAGCCAAACTAAGCACCGGCTGAAACTTACTGGCTGCATGGCAGCTTTAACACGGCCTCCCTCCTTTGGCCGCTCCCCCACTATACCCGTTGCGCGCCGTCGAGGCAAAAGCCTGTTGCTGATGATGCTTTCTAGGCAAAAATACTTACATTTTTTATACACATACACGCACACGCATATACATATATTATGTATATATATTTTACGATCAGCCGTGCGTTATATTACGTAAGTGCGTGTTTGTACGCGCGTGTATAGCAGCTGGAGGGTGGACGAGGCGGATATTTTATGATAAAGTTAGGTGTGGGGTACGCGTATACCAACGTGCAGCAAAAAAGTGCAAGGGGGACCGATGACGTACAAGGGTACGGTGGGGCCGTCTTGTGCGCGTGCCCCTGCATTATATCTTCACCTGCGCTGCTTCGCTCCGATGCGCGCGTGCGTGACTCTCTTTCTCTCTCTATGGTTTTGTATTATATTATTCGTTTTCACCGTTTTTTTTTCCGCTTTTCTACCTATAAACACTCGCTTTCGTTTTCTTTTGTTTATACATTTTAGGAGGAGTAGGGGGGAATATGGATGTTTTTTTTTTTTTTTAGTATCCAAATAAGGATCCGAGAAAGAACTGAAATTAAATGTTTTTTCCACTTTGTTCGGGAATGGACGCAATCAGGAGTAGGTCTCTTTATATTTCGAGGGTTTGAGTTACAACTGCACATATACCCCAAGCCAGTTCGAAGAACATCAGATCCATCTTCCATATGACGAAGGGTTATAGCCTTTGCACAATCTGTAAGATCCAATGTAAAAATCTACAGGTCATTTGGTGCCATGATGTTTGATGCAGGCTGGATCGTAAGTAACCAAATTACTTGGCACGCCGATATCGAGTGCCTTGTCTTCCTCCCACGTCTGTCGATTCAAGTGGAATAGGGTTGGGCGCAGAGGAAACGAGAGTTACGCTACATAGCTGTATGCATGTATGCGAGAGAGCGCGTTAAAGTACGCGCGGCAGCTAACGCAATAAAAAAAAAGCGGCCCGGCTCTCATTTCGCTTCTATCCCAGTGATCTAAATATGATGGCCCCTAACGTCACCGGTATATAGGTATACGCATATATATATATATATATACAGGCGTGACATCATCGCCAGACACGCGCGCCTCGGCTATTTCTAAATTAAACTGTGTCACGAACTGCTTGCCCTGCCCCGATGCTTGTTTCACGCCCACGCGTGTACATATTTATCCACGTTTTTGTGTATAATACGGGCTTTTCTCATGTTTTTCTCTACCCTAGCGTTGCGTGGATAACCCGTCAAATAATCAATCGTACCGCGCCTGCCGTATACACTTAGGCGAATTTACCCACTTACGTGCAGTTCGATGCCACTCGTGGAGAATAGAGTGTTGGTTATTACCCGCGAGTGCACGGTTGATTGGACTCGCGTTGCGCGTGTTACAAAAGCTGCCCAACTATATATCATACACCTACACCCTGTCATGGAGAATGAAGCTCCAAGAGACAATGAGGAACGCCAGTAATTCGACTGACCCTCCTCTTGGGGTTTTTACCGGTAACCGTGCACGGTGCCACGTTATAAGCACTTTCCACGCGATTTTATTGTATTTCGTGAGTGACAAGAGACCATCGTTTTGTCAGGTTTTTGAAAAAAAAAAAAAAAAAAAAAAAATTTCCAGTAACCCCTTTTGTTTATGATATATCTGCCATAAAAGCGCCAATCTACAGTTTGATTGAGAGCTCCAGTACGTGGAATTGAGAGTACGTAAAAAGAGCTTTCAGATAATGACAATTGTTTAGTTGGGTAGGAGAATTATGCGCTGGACAACAGTCAAACGTGATTTTTGTTTACATTTTCCCCAACAATGTGGTGAATATTGATAAAAGCTCGCGATTTTTCACAATAAGCTTCAATCACGCTGGTAACTTTTAATCAGCATGTTATTGTAATATTTGGTTCCACGTGACAGATTTTTTGTTTTTTGTTTTTTTTTTACTTTCCACTCAAGATCCGCCCACAAAACCTAAATACAAAATACTCCCTTTATGTCTCGGTTCTTTGGAAAGTCTGTCCACAACGCAATATCCACCAACATTACTCCAAACACAATAAAAATTTTTTCAATAGTAACGCTAGAAACTTAAGTAATTTCAATTTTTTTTTTTTTTTTCATTTCCGAACCATGCACATACCTGTGCACTTGACAATTTTTCGCTCAATAGGTCTCATGTATAGGTAGCTGTAAGCCACAGTGTTCAATAAACAGTGCCATTATTTCATTTGATGTTTTTCATTGTCGTCGGTCTTCTCTAATGGTTATATACGCACGTGTTATTGATCAGAGTCGTGTGCCAGTGTTGTTTGGAGAGTAAATATAATATAAACGTTATTCTCGCAAAGCCACAACCGGAAATCATTACGCTTCCAAGGAAAGCACCGGTTCAACCGAGGACAAAGGAATGTTTGAATCGGCTTTCGGAAACGCAGAGCTTTTGACAAAAAAAGTGTAAAATAAAGGCCCATCTTGTTACCTCTATTCCAATCTTATCACCTTGAGTCTAGAATCCATGCAAGAGCCTTCATAAATTTCGACCCCCAAATACATAATTTTATAATTTTTTTTTTTTTTTTCATGCCTAAGTTAGTACATTATTCGAGCACATATCGTTATATTATCTGTCAAAATAAAACGGCTGAATTCGTGCTGAATAATTGCTGCATAACGTGGAAACGTGCACCAAACAGAAACAGTTAAAAAAAAATTACGATTGTCAAAGCTTCGAGCGAGTGAAAATAGTTTGTCTCTTTTTTAAAACCATCCCTTGAAAAACTGTTTTGAAAAATTTGAAATTTAATTGCTCATTTTCACCACCAGAGCCCTAACTGAATGCAGGACCCGTGAAAACTGTGTGCAAACGTGCACAAAGCACGTATAGTTGTTGTCAAAGGCCGAATGTTCTTTACAGCATTTTACACATACTCTCGAAGTGTATAAGCATGTTACTTTGATGTCGAACAACAGTACATCACAACTATGAACAAAAAGCAGGAAAATGTATTTATCCGTGCATGTATATATCATTCGTTACACAGAATCGAGTACTAAAGAGGGAGAGATTGGTAAAGATATAATGGTCCGAGACTAAACAATCACCGAGTCATCACCTAATTATTGTCACCTACAAAAAAGGTCATTCGCAGCTGTCGATGAACGAAGATTTGAATGCAGATACAGAGAGGGAGAAAAAAAACAAGATCACAAGAGTACGATAACCCACAATTTATTCCTACTGTGATTGTTTCAGTTGTCGGAAGACGTTACACAAAAAGGGTCGACGCTCTGTGGTTACAAAACTGTAAAAAAAAGTAGTCGCTCTCGCGGCTCTAGTTTTTCAGGTCGCGTATTTTCGCATGCCTCGCAGTTGAGAAGCCAACCGCGCGTCCACTCGCTCGCATTTCCGGCCGCCGGTATACATACACGTAAGTCGAGTTTTCTCGCATTTTACGTGAAATCGGAGTTAAGGAGAGAGAGAGACACGGGAGAAAAGGGAATAGAAAAACACAGTCCAGAGAGTATTATTTACACACGCGGACAGAGAGCTAACATTACTGTTGCACTCGGCGGATGGTGCAGTAGAAGCGGTGGACTCATGCATGGCAAGCCATGAGGAACGACTGCTCGGTACTTTGCGTTTCGGAATCGTGAACATCTGTGCGCCTTGACGCTCGCGACGAGTAAAAGAAAAGAAAAAGAAAAAAAAAAGAAATTACGAAAGTTCTGCCATTAATACCGCAGCCCTCGAGCAACGGGGGAAGCCTAAGTAATAAGGTGGTCCCTACTAAACGGGGGACCCTGCCAGCTAGCCCTCGTCTTTTATTTTGCTTTCTTGTTTCGCTTCTCGAGAAAAGGCCTTTTTTTTCGCCTTCACCACTGCTGACGCCAGGGTTTTTCGAGCTGTCCTCTTGGACGTCCTTTGATTCATTTGCACAAGAAAGGGACTGGTAGCTCAATGGTTTTTAATCGACTAACACGTGATTGAATGTTTTATTATTATTACTTACTATTGATTGGTAATCATTCGTTCTCATTTGTCTTTCAAAAATGACTCTTTGCTCTAATTATCACAGCAATTGTAGAAATATTCGTGGAACACTTCTATGAAATGACACATTATAAATTCAACAAGTGTACAAGCGTAACTTGTCGGTATCATTTTTAATACGAAAAAAATTATTGAACATGACATTCTCCGGATTTTTTAATATCAATTAAGTTACATTCGCAGTGTTTTATTGATTTGACAATATTATACGCGTACCGATGTTCATATCGAAAATCAGATATTTTTCATCACACATTGGAAAATTATTGCGTTATTCCATTTAGTAAGATTGGCACTAATGTTAAAAATCATTGTACACTATTCTTCTTTCAACACAACCAATCGGTTAGTTTTCATTACAATTATTTCATTCAAACGAGTTTTTGACCAACTATCATAAAATTCGGAATGATTGTACATCCAAGAGAATAGGAGTAGCACAACGATTTAATGCACAAATGAATATCAGTTCGACAGCTACTTATGTGCGTTATAGAGGAATTTTATAAATGATTCACTGAGAAACTGAAAAAATAACAATGTCAAAAAGTCTATGTATTCGCATAAGTCTTGATTTCCGTAGCGACAAATCATGACGTACTGAAAATAAAAGGCGAGATCAAAATGAGCGTCCACATTGCCGAAAGCTCCTTTCTCACCCCCTTATCTTTTGCAAGCTGAAAGCTACAGAGACAACGTTACAATCAAGTTTTCGTATCACGCCAGCAGGTTGGTAAAATAATTTTACGTCTCCACCTACCGTCTACCACTGTCGTCGGCTTCTCTGGCGCGTTGCTTGTACACTTGCATGCAGAGGCCCTGTAATCCAATCACGAGGTCGGGGCGCAACTTATTCGG